TGACAAGTTACTGAGCAGATGCTTTCGCTTAATATATACCATTTTCACTTTGAATCGGACACTTTTCAAACCAAATCGGACACTTTTCAAATCAAATCGGACACTTTTCAAATCAAATCGGACACACCCCTTACAATTAGGTGGTTGATAACTAGACCACACTAGGTACTGTTGCAAGCTCCGCCCCATTATCCCCGCCCATTTCTCAGCAGACAGGGTTTTCCGAGATGCTCCATGAAATCTGCTCCCTCGGCTTTTTCTCGTTCTTGCCCTTTGCACACACACTTCAACCGAAAAAGATTGATACCTATACAGATCTGACTCCGCCCACTTAACAATGAAGTTACGTAAGTTCTGAATTTTTATAACTTTTTCGACGTAGTTCTTTTCACATCCAATCTTCACAAAACGAATAACCATGCACAGCACACCAGGCCCCGCCCCTCTGACCCCGCCCACTTGTGTTTATCGCGGAATTTTGCTTTTTCGGATTCCTTTTTTAGGCTGCGATTGGCTTCCGCCACCAATGAAGCTGCGCCACTCTTGGGAACCTCGCCCACTTTCAAAAATGATGCAAATCGCGGCGCAGCTAGTGTTCCGTACGGCGCATGTACGGCCTCTCCAAGCCACAGAAAAAAAAAGGAAAACGCGGAAAAAAATGCGAAAATTTGTTCTGCGACGGCAAGCCATAAGTCCGCCAGTAGGGACCACTACGCCGATTGCCCCCACCTTTCGAAAAGTGGGCAGGGGCTTCCCCAAAGTGGGCGGAGCTTCCATTGGTGGGCGGAGCCAATCGCTAAAGATTAAAAAAGCAAAAATCCGGAACAAAAACCAAAATTCCGCGATAAACACAAGTGGCGGGGTCAGAGGGGGGCCTGGTGTGCTGTGCATGGTTATTCGTTTTGTGAAGATTGGATGTGAAAAGAACTACGTCGAAAAAAGTTATAAAAATTCAGAACTTACGTAACTTCATTGTTAAGTGGGCGGAGTCAGATCTGTATAGGTATCAATCTTTTTCAGTTGAAGTGTGTGTGCAAAGGGCAAAAACGAAAAAAAGTCGAGGGAGCAGATTTCATGAAGCATCTCGGAAAACCCTGTCTGCTGAGAAATGGGCGGGGATAATGGGGCGGAGGCTTGCAACAGTACCTAGTGTGGTCTAGTTATCAACCACCTAATTGTAAGGGGTGTGTCCGATTTGATTTGAAAAGTGTCCGATTTGGTTTGAAAAGTGTCCGATTTGGTTTGAAAAGTGTCCGATTTAAAGTGAAAATGGTATATATCTCATTTTAAGAGCCATTTCGACGTGTGTCAGCTTTGAAGTTCTGTCAATAGGTGTGTCTATCTATTTGCTTGTCAGTCTGTTCTCTGTCTGTCAGTCCATCTATCTGTCTACTGGTATGTTTGTCGGTATATCTCCTCGTCTTCGCCTGCGAAATGCCTCATAGGTGTGGTAGGAAAAAAAACGAGCAGCTGGAATCCGATTGTCCTGATGTTATGACTTACCGTGTGCCACAACAACTGGCTGGTAGCAGTTCAATTGGACCCTTTTATCACGCGAGAGCGCGCGGAAATCAGTCTGAAGGCTAGTGATACTCGAGTACAGTTCCGCACTCGGCTCACGTCGTCTTTCTAGATGCTCAAGATGCAGCACCTACGTCAATAACAGAAGCAGCGAACCCACAGTCAGAGGTGGAGAGCATTTAGGAATTAGAGGGCGCATAAGTAGCGCGTTCGGCTATGGTTAGGCGTGTGGCTATGAGTAGCCTCCAGCACCGTCCTCGCGCTCTGCCGAGTGGAGAGCGACACGCTGCTGCAGAGGCAGACTCATCACCTCGCACGTGGCAAGGACCAGGACCCACGCAGGTGATTGCACAATTTGTCTTCAACACTGCGAGTCACGCTTATACTCTCGTTATCATTACGGACTGTCGGGGCGGGTCAGTGCGGCTGCGTTTGGCGCGGTGCCAAAGTCGTTCTGCACCAATTGTTGAAGCGGGCAAGTGACATTACTGTATTATATCCTTCGTATTACTCGTTTTCTACCACTTTTTGTCGCATACGCGTTTCAACGAAAAGGCTGAGAACGGCTTCAAACAGTGTGCGCACTCCTACTGGCTGACACGCCCCGACAGTCCGTAATGATGAGGAGAGTACACTAGCACAATTACACTTCAGTGATGCATTCTCATTTAGGGCCGAAGATGAGCACCTGCTGTGGAGAATCGGCGGAAGAAACGGCGAGAAACCAAGGTATTCGAATCGAGTTACCCTCCAGAATGCGCTACCACGTTCGTGTCCTGTTCGAAATGTGCCCTTCCTTGAACCTTCGGTAGCTGTATGTACCAGCCCATACGAGAACGTGGTGTCGAGTGAGGAGCTCCTGGAATCGAGTCTGATGCCCGTATTATGCAGATGATAAATTTTTACGCTAGCCACCTCCACCGGAGCAGATGGCTTTGAACGGTTGAAACGGTGTTTTGTCAAAATTTGCCATTCGATAAACTTAGCCAGCGATAACAACAGCTCTTAAAGTTTATCCAGTTACTTTTTCACTTCAAAAACGGTTCCCCAGGAACATTCCTAGCTGGCACACCCTTCTTTACTCCTTGGGTGTCCATCAAAAGAAACCCTTCTATCACTTATGCGAATGTCATACCTGAATATTGCTGTGCAAGTGATTTGTGTTGAGCAGTCTATCGAGACAGGCAGCATGCTGTCCACGAGCCGCTAGGTGCATTGGCATGTCACCATCGGCATTTGGGCGATTTACTTCATTACCCAGAAACATGAGCAGTCCTTCGAGTATCATCACATGACCTCTGAAACGTCATAAATTCAGTGTTGACTTTTTACTAGGCTATAATTAGGAGTTTTACACCCTCTTGACACAGCCCATCGTCCGCCCACAAGATCCTACCTCTCAGCAGCTATATGCAGCAAAGTGTTTCCATTCGCGTCTGCAGCGTCACGTTGAGCTCCCAACGACAGTAGTGCTACAGTAGCCGTCCAATTTCCGTCTGCTACAGCGCACATTAGCGGCGTGTACCCGCTATCTGAGGCGTTGTTCAGCTGAAAAGAAATCACATAAAATTTGTAACAGGACATAAACAAATGCACCTCTCATGGAAGCTCTATGCGTTCACTCATCACTAGAGTGACGCTTTGAATGAAATTTGGTCATACACTGACTCACGGGGAGCACACGGTGCATACCTAAGTAGATTGGCAGGCCACCGCAAGCCTCTTCATGAACTAGGTTTACCACAATTGCGAACTACAATTTTGAAGGCAATTGGATCGAATGGAAGAACGTATTGCTGTACCTCTCTAGTGAACCATACATAAAGAATGGATCGGTATATGGACCGCAAAGGATTTTGTCCAAAAAATCGTTAGATGAGTACCTGTTCGAAATGGTTCTGAGCGGCAATCGCGAACTGGGCTGCTCCACTATCGTTCTTGTTCCAATTGACAACGGTAGTTATTAACTGAGCTCCCTCAGGCGACTGAGAATTCCCGTGACGAAGTCGGGAAGCACATGCTTGGATCGTTGGATCAGTATTCTCACGAAGAATGCGAGATAATGATCCGAAATCATTTTCTGAATAGAAGACACACTCATTTGGTATGAAAAACTTGAAAGAAAGGAACTATCTAAGGTTATCTTGACTCATATGGATTGAAATCAGGGCACATCGTTATTGGGGAAGTTCCCAACAGGGGAACTCGTATGTACTTGGTCGCTGGGAGAGGGGGAGAGGTCGTTCACTGAGAAAAATTTTTTTTGTTAGTTGATTTTTCTTGTTTCAGGAGGGACGTTGTGAAGAGGTAGGGCTCATATTTCCCTTCTGACCTTATCAGAGAGGCTGCTGACTTTTCGTGGTTTTTTCCTGTCTTCGTGTGTACTATATTCCACCATCCTCCCCCAGTCCAACAGCGAAATTTTTGGGTAAAAGTAGAAACATTTTTGGAAAAGTCCGGAAAAGTCAGGGAAAATCTAAGAAATGGTAGCGAGAGCTCAGTGAGGAGGGAACCTGGGGGGACCCCTCAGAAAAGTGGGGAGGGTCGTACGTACACGACAAAAATCCTCAACCAATGACGTGCCCCGATTGAAATACTACTAGAGTCATTCAATACATAGTTCATAATCTTTGCGTGCTAGAAGCGTTTCTTGCGCAAACAGCACGGTTGGCATAGGCTGTCCCGCTTTGCAAAGCTTGAAGTGTCTGGAAAGGTCCGCCAAGTCAGACTTTCCCTGAAGGAGTCACGTCTCCGCCTTCTCTTCCATTTTACAGCCGCTGTACAGCTGTGAGATGTCGTTCCTTGCGTGCCATTTCCCATTTGCATGCTCAAGCATACGAGCACTGTGCTAGTACGGTGCAGCGCCTCTACACCGTACATTCATGATCCCCGTAACGACAGGTGAGATGTGGCGCTATAGCGGCGTGGCGCCCTCTTTTCCACCAAAGATGCCATACTCAGCCAGATACAGGTGATGGGCAATCTGATCTCGCTGCGCCCCCCGCCGCACCTCCGTCACACGCACCATGGTTGCAGGGATCGCGGCTGTAGTTCGCAGTGTACTTATTTGACGAGGATCCTATTTGAGGCGTTATTGCTGCATTGATTTGCTTTTTTCAATAGTAGCGCAATTGAAGTGCACTCTCCCGCAGTTGATTTCATCGCAGGCAGTAGGGGAGGTGTCAAGAGACATGAAAAGAGCCCGCGCGGGGCCATTTCACCACTGGTTATTTTCCCCATATCGATCAGTAACTGCTTCAGGAGCACTGCCCACGCTTGGCCTGTCAGTAGAAACAGAGCGACTGTTCTGCATTACTTTTTGATGTGCTTCTCCTTTCTGAAACCGTAATGGGGGGGGGGGAATCACAGTGGTAGATCTGATCTAACTTCGGCGTGGATTCTGTCTTGAAACCTCATGGCGTTGTAGGCGAGATAAAGTTGCACGAACCAGTGTAAATTGGAAGTAAAGCATCTGCAACTCGTTCTTCTTGTGACCAAAAGAACACTTGTTTGTTTATTGATTCGAGGCAAAACAGCTGATCGTCTGCATTGTAGTTCATTATTGATCTCACAGTAACCATGTGGATGTCCTGAATGTATAGTAACGTCATCCAAAATCAATCGAATTTCGCAAGGAAATGCGAAAGAAATTCCGTTCAAATTTCTTTACACCATGAGTTATACTCACCATTTGTCCATCATCACTCGGTTGCTCTAGCACGGCATGGTCTCCCACCTCGAAATGAACCCGATAAATTGGTCGAAGAGCTCGAACGTGCCATACAACGTCGACAGCCATCTGAAACCCTCTATCATGGCTTCTGCATACAATCGTGAAAATATCTGCTGTTGAAATATCATGAAGACAATTCTCTTGATCAATCACTTTTGTTTTAACGTGGTTGTGCTGTTTCTTTTAGCTGTGCGCACGGGTACGAGGGCACACAACCGTTGTTTATGGCAGGGAGACGTACTTGGTCTCTAGAGTTTTTTTTTTTGATTGCAGGTTTTTCGCTTCAGGTGGGCTACCGCCCCTTAGGCGACATCAGCACTGTCTTTCACCTCACCTCTACCGGACGCTTACTTTGGGATGCGTGTCATCGAGTTCTACTAGTGACTCTATTACCACACTTGTTTTGAATTTGTGCTGTACCCCAATACAAACGATTCGCAGTCGCTGAGTGTGTTCTCGAGAGCATTCTCCGCCTTCGTCGTGAAGGCAGAGTCAGGTTTGGAAAGGGAGTGGCACTCCAACAAGATCTTTGCGGTAGGTCTGCTCCTACATGGCGTGATTTCCTTGAATACACACCATGAATATTTGAAGAACATTCCTGTTGAGTAGCTCAAGTCACAGGGTATGAACTTCATTTAGTCTTTCGTCTGGCTCTCTGCAGTTGAAGCACTGTGATCATGGTGCAGGCTTGCCCAGAGACACTGGAATTCGTTTTTATTAGCTAAGAGCGGCACTGTTCACAGATCTCAGCACATGTACGAGGCGAATGGATCCGCAGCTGCAGTAGCGTTCGCCCAAAAGTGCACGGGAACGGAACTGTAAGGTAGTAATGGCGGAGAGCTGTCTTCATATGCGCCCCGCGCTATCCCTTTTAAAGCTGTAAGCATTGCGTCGATACCGGAAGGACCGCGCACTTCGGCTATTGTCTAGGCGCTTTGACTTGCATGATGCGGCAGGCGGGTGATTATTGAGACGAGCATACGCAGTGCCTCCGCTAATCCTCAGCCTGTTCCCATACAACACCGGTAAAAATGACAAGCTACTGCAGCTGGGACCCATTCGCTCCTTCTAGGGAAGGAATAGGATCTACGGAAGTGAATGTTTAGTTTGTTCTTGAAATGCGATTAATGCTTACAGGTGTGAGCAAGGTCGCTGAAGACGACCTGTGATTCATCACTGCGGAACCAGAAGAATAAAACATCGTCAATCAGCTGTCCTGCCGTCATAGCAGAAACGTCGACAATTGCTTCCAATTCGGCAAGATCTGAAAACTTTCTCGTCTTCCGAAGTGATTGCTGTGAATACAGAAACATAGCTGCACATGGAAGCTGCTGAATGTCACTCTTCGAAGGCACGTCTTCGAGATGCACATAATGCAGAGCTAAAGAAAAGGTAAAGAAACCCCCCCCCGGAAATATCAATAGGACTCCTGGCCGATCCGTGTTAGTACGAGCACAAGATGAAGGGAGGCTGTGCTCGGACAAGTGCCCACTATTTGGGATCAAAACATGGTCGGCTTTTTCCCCTAATCACGTCACACTCACAGGTCGAAGAAGGAAGAGCTAGTAGCGGCTAGTAGGAAGAGCTAGAAAAATTCATGATCAGACAGCCTTTAAAAAGCACATTTGGTAGGGCAAATGCTCGTTATCACATATCAGCGAACAGTCGCTGGCACAGAAAACCAAATGTGCGTTTCAAAGGCTCCCTGGTCATGAATTTTACTAGCTCTTCCTTTACTAGCCGCTACTAGCTCTTTACCAAAGGCGACATTTGCACTCCAGATAAACGCGGAGCTTCCCTAGTCGTTCCCCAGTCTTCCCTAGTCTAATCGTGAACCCATAACGTCGTTTTGTCGGACGAAGATTTGTAACTCTATCAGAATGGGTATTGCAGTCTACCTCCCGGAATTTCCCGTCTCTCGGGTGATGAATTTTGTAGGAAGTAACGACAGTTGACTGCAATCATGCTCCGCGAACGAATGTTGGCTCTGGTCATCAGTAGATGAGAGACGGTCTTTGTGGCCACGCGACGTCGCGCAGCAATGTGCAAACACCGCGTGCTTGCAATGGAGCGCACGCTCGCGACAGACTCATTATGTTATTGAATCAAATTGTGTTTGCTTCTGTTTCCAGCCACGCTCTTCACTCTGGTAGGAATGGTTGGATCTTGAGCACAGAAGTAGGATATTACAAACTGCCTAGGTTCTGTCTAAGGGCACATGCGAAGCGGAAACCAAGTTACCTCTTTGAATCACCCCCTATTAATGCCTAGCAGTTATGGCGCAGAGATACTTGCACAGATTCTGATTGAATGCTCATCTAGCTTTCCTGCTGATTCCTAATATTTTGACTGTCACCATGCTTCCTGGTCGGCATAAGAGACTGTAATTACTGTCGTTTTGTTGAGGTACGATGGACGTCTCGTTAGAAAAAAAAACTGTTACTGGCACGATTACAAAACCAGCGCGAGCTCGCGTCAAACGTAACCATACGGTGTTTGCAATTGCCGCGCACGACGCAGCGTAGTTTTACTGTCACGTAGCTGTTGATGCCTGCTTGTATAGGCTCGATAAAGTCTAAGCGATAACTCTAGATGTGCTCTTCGCTTGATAAAGCTTAGTTTTGAAAAACAAGAGACCGATACAAAGAAAATGTGTGAGTGGTGGAAGAAGCATTTCTGAAACCGGTAACCGGTCACACAGTGAACTTACTCTTAGTTCCTCAACATTTTTTTTAATTTATGACATGACAATAAGCAACATGATACTGAGATGAAAATCGAACCGTTTTCATGAGATGTTAACGTTAATGAAAAACGACAAAGTAAAAACCATTCCGCGCACCATGACGTTGTGGATGGGATCCCAAGGCAATCGTGAATACTCGTGCAGTTTTTCAGCATGTCTTGTTTCACGTTCTTCGACGTAGGCTTGCAACCAGCTCATTTCTTTTCAGAGAACATGAAATGGAAGCTCAAAAAACACATCTGCTGAGGAGTTCCACGTCAGATGCTGATAAGCACAACACGCAAGTACCCGCCGATACCTTCATTATTATTTCTAGAAGTGGGTCTGTAACGTTTCAGAGTGAAGTGTTGTAGTGTCACGTTGTTGTTGTGTTTGTAATGCAAACCTCAATATCAGCTCTATTAACTGGTCCATCGATGAGCGATTCTGCACTTGGAGCACAGGCTGAATGACTCTTCGTCGTCTCTAGAGGAGCAATATCAATAGCTACGTTTAGCGATCGGGAATGGATCGCTGGTTGGCTCCTAAAATAGAGGCAGCGTGGTTACTCCTGAAAAATGAAGGGGAAAAAGGGTTGGCAACTCCCAGGATGGGACCGTGAACCTGTCTGTGCTTCTACGAGCATACAGGAATGAAAGTACGTGACTGGAAGACTTCTTTTTTTGTTGGTATCATAACGATATCGGGGGGGGGGGCTGAGGAGCGAGCAAAAAGTCGTAATTTGTCGTGTCGTCGTGCACAGCATATCGTGCGGCGGTGCGAGACAGATTCTGGATGTGCACCGGTTCTTTGATAGAATCAGCAGAACTCTCATGAATTCGAGCCTAAGCAGGATTCCAAGACGCTAAATATAGAATTTTCTCCTTCCCTTAACGCTCAGACCCAAACTACCAGGGAGTATAATTCGTCTGTCTGGCGTGGCGTCTTTTGTTACACCCTCGCTATGGCACATTACGATTCATATACCGAACGAGATCAGCTCTTTCCGAGGTGAGTGTAAACTCTGTCTTCAGAAGTTGGAACAGAATGTTAGAACGTCACACGAAGGTGACTGGCAGAACCTTAGGCCGAGAGCAGTGTTCAGTACGTAGGACCACTGAATGTAAGCGACTTCATTCAAAAGCACCAGTTTTAACTGGGACTCGTGAGATCGCGGGATTGGTAATCTTGAGAAGTGACTCGCAAGAAAATCATGGATAAAACTTACATGAAATGAGGGTCCTAGCAGATACTTTGGACAGCACAAGATGTCTAGCAAGAAAAACTCTGTGACAGCGCTGACTTAACGCTGTAAAGGAAGAGATTCTTTGAACCCTCGATCCCTCATCGGAAACGTCACCTGATTTTCCCCCTCCTCTCTCTTCCCTCTCACACATGAGACTGCCCACCTCTCTTGTCACTCACCTACTGTTAAGAGTTCGGCCACTAAATGTGTCTCTCATTAAAGGAAACATACCTGCTGAGCAGGAACACCTGACCAGCGAAATACGGCCGCTCAGGTGAAAATGTATCAAGTGGATAAACATTTAATCCTCACTGAATGCCCGGTTTGTACACTCTAGTTCGCTGCGGACGGTTGGGCGTGTCAGGCAGTATGAGTGTGTCACGCCGTCAAAGCCGTTCTCTGCCTTCTTGTTGAAGCGCGCATGCGACAAAAAGTGGTAGAAAACGAGTAATACGAACGATATGATACAGTCATATCATTTGCTCGCTTTAACAACTGTGGAGAACGGGTTTGGCACCGCGCCAAACTCATCCCGCCTGACACGCCCAACCGTCCGCAGCGAACTACACTATAAGGATATGTGACAATACCATAGTGATATGCCACGTTAGTGGGCGTGGCCATAGAAATCGCGCCCGACTGACGAGTTGTCCTACCTGGCCGTTTCAATTTCAGTTTTAAGGGAACGGAAAAGTCCTATATATCCCATCGCGGAATCTTGTCTTCAATTCATATGAGTTTCGTTGCTCTAATCGGCAGTCTATATACATCGAGGATCTGCCGCCCATCGCCGCTTGACACGCGTCTCAGGGCACTTGTCAACCGCGGAGCCTCTCTTCTCTTTCCTTTTTTCTTCCTCCATCCTTCTTTTCCTTCCTTCCTTCTCTGTTCCCTCCTTCTTTACCTTCTCCCTTCAACTACTGGGCTAGTAGATGCGATGAGAAAATACCTCTGGACCCTCGCAGCGAGAGCATGTCCGGTTGACAACAGCCCTATAACCCTTGACACGCCGTGCGTGACGACGCGACAAATTACGATTTTCGACCCCCGGTTTGCAGAGACATCACTTATCAACCATTACACTTATCGTTATTG